AGGTACATAAGTAAAAGCAAGTCTGGATCTAGAAAGCAGGTTGAATGTTGGAATTGTGGCAATCCTGGTCATTTCACGAGGAATTGCACAAAACCAAAAAAACCTGAAGCTAACTCTGCAAACGCTACTACAGACGAGGTACAAGATGCTTTGATTCTTGCTGTATAAAGTCCAATTGATGATTGGGTTCTTGATTTTGGTGCTTCATTCCACTGTACACCATACCATGAAATGATGCAAAACTATATTACTAGAGATCATGGTGTAGTCTATCTGGCTGATAGATAACCAATATATATTATAGATATAGGAGATGTGTAAATCAAGACAATGAATGGATCTATATGGAACTTGCAAAATGTAAGACATGTTCCTAGACTAAAGAAGAAGTTGATCTCAGTCGGATAACTTGATGATAGTGGTCATTCAATCCTTTTATCTGGAGGTATGTGGAAGGTATTAAAGGGAGTAATGGTTTTGGCTCGTAGAAAAAAAACTTGTACCCTGTATATGACCACAAGATCTGCAGACATTATTGCCTTTAATAAAGTAGAAAATCAAGCACAGCTATGGCATTGTAGACTCGGTTATATGAGTAAAAAGGGAATGAAAATACTTTAGTCAAAGAGAAAGCTGCCAGAGTTAAAAAAAATATTAATCTAAACATTTATGAAAGCTATCTTCTCGAAAAATAAAAGAAGCTTAGTTTCTTAAATGTTGGCAGGACCTAAAGACCAAGAAAGCTAGAACTGGTACACACAGATTTATGGGGACCAACTCCAGTAGCATCTCTTGAAGGTTCTTGGTATTATGTGGCTTTCATTGATGACTTCAACAGGAAGGTATGGGTCTACTTTCTAAAAAATAAATCTAATATGTTTGAAACATTTAAGAAATGGAAGGCTATAGTTAAGACTGAATCAGGTCTGAAGTTGAAATGCTTAAGATCTGATAATGGAGGACAATACATTGATGGAGGTTTCAAAGAGTATTGTGTTGTCAATGGTACAGAATGGAAAAGACTGTTCCAGGCACACCACAACAGAATGGCTTGCTGAACGAATGAACACGACCATCAATGAATGAGCTAGAAGCATGAGGTTGCATTCTGGGTTACCTCAAACATTTTGGGCTGATGCAATTCATACTGCAGTTTACTTGATCAACCGTGAACCATCAGTTCCTTTGGAGTTCAGACTGCCCGAGGAAGTATGGAAAGGAAAAGAAGTACAACTCTCTCATTTAAAGGTCTTTAGGTGTGTTTTCTATGTGCATATAGATTATGATGCTCGTAACAAGCTAAATGTCAAATCCAAGAAATGTTTTTTCATTAGCTATGGAGATAAAGAATTTAGATTTCGGTTTTGGGATGATTAGAACAGAAAGATTATCAGAAGCAGGAACGTGATCTTCAACGAGAAAGTTTTGTATAAAGACAAATAAAATACAGAAACAGATATGGCTGAATCAGATACAAGTCCATAAAAATATAAATTCATAAGATTAGAAGGGCTTCCCAATGTTACCACTCAAGAGTCTTTATAAGAAGATTCAAGCATATCTGTACTCATTACTACACAAGAAGAAGCGGAGCCTAGTGAACCAGCTGTTATGTTTGTAGGTCTTCAAGGACTGTAAAACCTCCACAACGGTTCACACTTCTACTGAATTATATTTTGCTGACAAATGGTGGTGAACCATTAACTTATGAAGAATCCTTACAAGATGGAAACTCAAGCAAGTGGGAGTTAGTCATGAATGACGAGATGGAATCATTGTTGAAAAACAAGACTTGGGAGCTAACCACACTACCTAAAGGAAAGAAGGCTTTGTAAAACAAGGGGGTTTATAGAGTAAAGACTGAGCATGAAAGAAGCAAATGGTTCAAGGTAAGACTTGTTGTAAAAGGGTTTCAACAAAAGAAAAGGATTGACTACTCTGAGATATTTTCCCCAGTTGTGAAGCTCACAACAATCAGAGTTGTTCTTGGGATAGTAGCTGCAGAAAATTTACATCTTGAACAATTAGATGTAAAAATAGTATTTCTTCATGGTGAATTGGAGGAAGACATTTACATGCAACAACCAGAGGGGTTTGCAATACAAGGAAAAAAGAACCAAGTCTGCAAGCTAAAGAAAAGCCTATATGGTTTAAAGCAAGCTCCAAGATAATGGTACAAGAAGTTTGACAACTTCATGTATAGTTTGGGATATACAAGATGTTAGGCTGATCATTGTTGTTATGTCAAACATTTTGACAACTCCTATATCATTATACTATTATATGTGAATGATATGTTGATTGCAGGATCCAGCATAGAAGAGATTGACAAGTTGAGATAACAGTTGTCAAAATAATTTAAAATGAAAGATATGGGAGCTGCTAAACAAATACTTGGCATGAGAATCATCAAAGATAAAGATAAAGGCATACTAAAGCTTTCACAAACAGAGTATATCAATAAGGTTCTCAACAGGTTTAGTATGGATAATGTTAAACCAGTAAGTACACCTCTAGGGAATCATTTCAAGCTCAGTAGAGACTAGTCACTAAAAACTGAGCTAGAATATGGATACATGAATAAGATTCCATACGCCTCAGCTATCAGCTCTTTGATGTATACTATGGTATGTACCAGACTAGACATTGTCTATGTAGTGGGAGTTGTAAGTCGATATATGAGTAATCCTAGAAAGCATCATTGAGAGGCAATGAAATAGATCATGAGGTACTTAAAAGGTTCATTGGAGACATGTCTTACCTTCACAGTTGGTGGTTTGAAACTTGAAGGTTTTGTAGACGCTGATCTAGCAGGTGATGTTAATAACAGAAAAAGTACTACAAGATACACACACACACACACACACACACACACACTCTAGGAGGCACTACTGTTTCTTGGAGTTCTACCTTGTAAAAGATAGTCGCTCTTTCAATAACAGAAGTTGAATATGTTGCAGTCTCAGAATCTGCAAAAGAGATAGTATGGCTATAGAGTTTCCTGAAAGAATTGGGCAAGATAAATGGAAAGGGTACTTTGTATAGCGATAGTCAGAGTGCAATCTTCCTTACCAAGAATCCAGCATTTCACTCTAGGACTAATCACATTGAGATCAAATATCACTTCATCCGATAATTACTAGACGATGAGCAATTGATGCTAGAAAAGTTCCATAGAAGCAAGAATCCAACTAACATATTAATCAAAGGAGTTACACTTGATAAACTGAAGTTGTGTAAAACTTCAGTTGGTCTTCAAGGATAAAAGATAATTTCATTGTTTGTCTCCAAGTGAGAGATTGTTAGTGGAGACAAAACAATGTCCCACCATATACAAGTGGGAATATCTAACCTCCCACTTTGCACATGGTGGAGGACACCGCCATGATTTATGCCCCTTCCCTCCTATATATATATGCTTAGTGAAGAGTTGCGGGTGTGTGTGTGAAACACGGAAAGAATAGAAGAGAAGAAGAGAAAGCTTGAGTGTAGAGTTGAGTTGAGAAGAGTTTTATCCTCCTCTTTATTTGTATTGTTTCTTTGAGTGATTAATACAAATTATTAACTCCGTGAAATAAACAAGTTGTCGAATCACGTAAATTTATGTATGTTTGAATGCTTAAATAACCTAACATAATAAAATGGTTAATTATGGTTTCCATTAGCCAGAGTGAAGTGCAAAATAATGTTGAGGTGCTTTCACTTGCAGGCTAGAGTATCTTTTGAGGATAACTTTGATTTTTTGCTTTTCTTAGTTCTTTTTTGTGCTTCGTTACTTTCAGAGTATGTTAAGAAGTTAATGAGTTCTCCCCTAAGATGATTTAATTACGTAGAAAATAAATACATGCATATGCATCGTTTCTAAAGTCATTAAGACTAATTAATTTATTTTCTCTTACAAACTAAAGGTACTAGCTTACAATTAGCTCTAATATTATAGAGTTTGGCAATTAACTGGCAAGAGTTTCTAACATTATAATGTTATTCATAGTTCATGAATTATTAATCTTACTTCATTAATAGACTATATTACCTCTTTTTTTTCATATAATTATAAAACATCTTATTTTGACATGATTAAAGTTTATTAAGATATTATATTTTAATTATTAATTTTTAAATTGGTCCAATTAAAAAATAAAAAGCATATAAATTGGAGCTTACAGATTTTAATTACTATATTATACTTTTTGATAACTATTTTATTGATATATAATATTTAAAAGCTCAACGAAAGAATATTATCAGCAAGAAAAGAATTATAATATGACCCAATAAAAAAAATTAATGACAAACAATGATTTAAAAAGATAAAATCTAAATATTCTATCAGTTATATTTCTATATATAAATGTAATGCTCGCATTTGATATTATTATTATTTTAAATTTTAAATATCACTATTTATGACAAATATAACTACGGATATTTTAGCCTATTCAAACAATTAAAGTATATTATGAAGTGTGATTAATAAACTATACAGTGAGAGTAACACTATCCTAGTTCAAAAATAATCTACTTCTTGAATATTTAACGGTAACTATAAGAAATTCAAGCGGGAAGAGATCATATTCAATTCAAATTTAATTGCTGACGAAGGGCTTGAGGAAATATTTAAGGGCGTATAATAATAATAATAAGTATAAAAGAAGCGAACACACAACAAAAATAATCACTCCATTGCAGACATGAACCGATGGAGTAATGAAACTGAAACAAAGAAAAAGTCTCTTTCTATAAAAACTGCGAAGAATCACGTTCACGTTGCTCGTTCTAGCTCTTGAGAAGGGTGTTCCATTGAGATAGAATGAATGAATATGAGCCACCAAGAAATCATTTCAGTGCTTCTTGCAGCAATTATTCTCGTCATAAATACATAATCTGCAATTCAAAACAGATCTTCAAAATTAGATGACACGACAGGATGGAAACAAGAGAAAATAAGAAAAATAAAATTATTAACAAATTAATGTCCGAAGCAAAACTTACATGAATATAAAAAACATAATTTAATTTGTCTAGTAATATGGAGGGGGTGGTGGAGACATGTAGTAGTAAGGAGGTGGTGGTGATGGTGGAGGAGGAGGTGGTGGTGGGGATTTATATACATAGGGAGGAGGTGGCGGTGGAGGTGGTGGTGGTGGAGAATTATAAACATAAGGTGGAGGTGGAGATGGTGATGGAGGTGGTGGGGATTTGTAGACATAAGGTGGGGGTGGGGAAGGTGATGGTGGAGGTGGTGACTTGTAGATGTATGGTGGTGGTGGAGATGGTGATGGGGGTGGTGGGGACATGTAGACATATGGAGGAGGTGGAGATGGTGATGGGGGTGGAGGAGACTTATAAATGTATGGGGGAGGAGGAGATGAAGATGGGGGAGGTGGAGACTTGTACATATAAGGGGGAGGAGGTGAAGGTGATGGAGGTGGTGGGGACTTGTAGATGTATGGTGGGGGAGGTGATGGTGATGGAGGTGGAGGTGGCGGGGACTTGTAAACATATGGTGGAGGTGGGGAGGGTGATGGTGGAGGTGGTGACTTGTAGATGTATGGTGGTGGAGGTGAAGGTGATGGAGGTGGTGGGGACTTATAGACATAGGGAGGGGGTGGTGAAGGAGAAGGTGGAGGAGGAGACTTATAAATGTATGGAGGAGGGGGTGAGGGAGATGGGGGAGGTGGAGACTTATAGATGTAAGGGGGAGGAGGTGAAGGTGATGGAGGTGGTGGGGATTTGTAAACATATGGTGGAGGTGGGGAAGGTGATGGTGGAGGTGGTGACTTATAGATGTATGGGGGTGGTGGAGATGGTGATGGGGGAGGTGGAGGTGGAGATTTGTAAACATAAGGTGGAGGTGGAGATGGTGATGGAGGTGGTGGGGACTTGTAGACATAAGGTGGAGGTGGGGAAGGTGATGGTGGGGGTGGTGACTTATAGATGTATGGTGGTGGTGGGGATGGTGATGGGGGTGGTGGGGACTTGTAGACATATGGTGGAGGTGGTGATGGAGATGGTGGAGGAGGAGACTTGTAAATGTAAGGGGGAGGGGGTGATGGTGATGGGGGAGGTGGAGGTGGTGATTTGTAAACACAAGGGG